ATTTTGCAGGCCTTTTAATATGGCCCACAGTGGGCAAGATGCTCTCTACCTTTGATTCTAAAATACCAGATTCTCTACAGAGAAGATTGGATTGGAACCCCTACGGACTTCCCTGCCCTGAACTAGTGCCCAGGCATCTAACCTAGCTCAGTGCTATAAGCAATTAGCACATCAATGCGGATATGAGAGGCTATGAAATTAATAATCTCCAAGCTTGAATGATGCCCAGCCAGCCCTTTCCCCATCATTTTCTTTATTAGTTCTTGCTTTCTTTTGGTTGTTTTTGTTTTTGAGACAGGATCTCACTATGTAGTCAAGGCTGGCTTCAAACTTGAGTTCTTGCCTCAGCTCATGTGTACTAGAATTACATAGTTTGTATCAGTTAATCAGTTTTGTTGCCTACTGGTTCCTTCATTTGTCACAAATAATGTCCCTGATTCTTACATATCTAACTCTATTGCTTCTTAAATCTTGACCACTTCTCCTTATTCCAAGGAACAAACCTTGTTTCTGACCTTAGAGTATAGCCATTTTAAGAGAACAATGCCACATCCTCAAATCCCATGTCTGCTCTATAGTCATCCTTTCCTACTCCTCTGTCCTGTCCCAGTGGCAGAATATTTCCTTCTGGATTTCTTAGAATAGCCTCTTCTACCTCTAAGATTAATATCTAATATTTATTAACTGCTAAGTGCTCATGTATATTGTCTTGGATCCTCTTACTTAGTAAGGATCAGGATTATTTTTGAGTCTGTCTTCTGATGAGGAAACTGAAGCTTAGAAAGATAAAGAGTTTCTCCCATGGTTATGTAGGAGTCAGAAGCTGACCTTGTTTGGAGCCCCTACCATAGCCATTGTCTGCCCACCCCAATCCTCCTACCTTCTCAGGGATTACTTTTTTCCATTTTTTTCTACCTAGTCTTTCTTCTAGCTATTGATATCAACAAAGTATGCACAAGAATCTTCCATCTGTTAAAATGAAAGTCCATTCTCCTAAATCTATCACATCTCTTTTATAACTAAAATTATCTTCATTGTTTCCACATTCCTCCAGCCCTTACTCCTTCGCTGATTGTGGTCCAGCCTTAACTTCACTGGTGTCATTCCAGAAGGAGCCTCCATGTTGCTATGAACAAGGGATGCTCCTTGGGCCTTACCTTACTCAGGCTTCCTGAATCATTTCATAGCATGATTCCTTCCTCTTGGATGAAACCTCCATTTCCCCCTGCCTTCATGCACCTCCCCTATCCTGACCTCCCCTATCCTAACCTCATTTGAGGGCCAACCTTCTCTGCCCGTCACTATAGTGAATGTGGTCTTTCAGACTTCAAATTCAACTTCTTTTTTTGGTATATATTATATTTATCTTTCAAATTCAACTTCTTTATTCTCATCCTTCCCCTGGGTCCTGCTTAAGTTTATTCTCTCTGTGGCTTTGATTACTGTCTACAAGATGGCAAATCACAAGTCTTTATCCTCAACCCTTATAAGGGCCTGACTACCAAGTCAGCATTGGTGTCACTATGCCTGCTGGATATGTCATTTTGATTGGAATTATTTGGTTGGGTCTAAGTGAAATTGAGCTCAATTTCCAGAACGCAGGATGAAGAGATTAAACTATTGAGCTCTATAGTCAAGCCTAAGTGTGTGTGGTTGTATCTCATGTGTGAAATGGGAGTAGTGATAGCCTCCACCCCAGAGAATCTTGTAGGAATTAAATGTATTGAAAGTAGTGTCAGATAGGGCTGAACTGGTTACTAGCTTCAGTGGGTAATAGAATTATTACCTTCTACCTGGGACCCTACCGCTTTAAGCCATACTAGCAAAGCTATAGTCACTCCACTTACCCAGCCCCATAGCCTTTTCTTTGGTGCTTTTTGTCTCAATGGGCATAACTCCCTAACAATGGCACACAGTACCTAATAAATCTGAAGTGTTATTTCACTTTATCATGTCTATAACTTTCTAAAGTAGATGGAGATTATTTTTTAACTTTTATATAAGTGAAGCATCCAAGGTTAAATAACTCATATGTAGTTTCACAGTCACTGGAATTTATATTTAAACCTGTTGACTTCCAAGTTCAGACTCTTGCCAATTATATTACATTCCCACTATTTCTGTAACCTTGCCCTTCCAAACTCAACCTGCCAGCATGACCACCTGCCTATCGTGAGATGTTACTTCTTTGCCCTACTTGTCTTGGGTTCTGACTCTGTAGTCTCTTGTTAAGATTGCAGTGGTATCCTAGTTCATCTACTGGCTTTCCACATTGTTCGTTGCCCATCTAATGTCCATAGAACCTCAAATGTAGATGTTCTTTAGCAACCTTCCGCCAAGACATTTGTCTGCCAGTGTTCAAAATCTATAATATAACTTCTCCAAGTCCTTTTACCATCTGGCTCTGGCATCCCTTGAGCTTCATGTCTTGCCACTTCTCCCCTAATAAGGCAAGGTCTGGTTTTATTGAACTTTTGTGTACTTACCTCATGTGAGACAAAGAATGGTATGGTGTGTCCCTAAAAGTAGGAATCTGTGGGATATATTGACTGTCACAGACTAGGGTGGAGACCTTTCCCTTACAGACTGATGGGCGCTCTTGTATACCATATTGTGTGACACTGTGTTTGATAAAAAATACCTATTCAATTAAAATGTCATGTTAGATATTTTTTTTGGGGGGGGTCCAGTCGTGGGGCCTGAACTCTGGGCCTGGGTGCTGTCCTTTAGCTCTTCAGCTCAAGGCTAGCACTCTACCACTTGAGCCACAGTGCCACTTCCAGCTTTTTCCTTTTTGCTTATGGGGTGCTGAGGAATCGATCCCAGGGCCTCATGCTTTCAAGACAAGTGCTCTACCACTGAGCCACCTTCCCAGCCCCTCATGTTAGATATTTTAACTTAGATTTTATGATCCCCTTGAGACCATGCAGCTCCTTAGCAAGTGGTAATGGTTGGCAGTATAGATTTTTGTTCTGCCAATGTTCATTCCAACCCACCCCTTCCCACTGTCCTGCTTTGTAAAATGAGGGTGATACATCTATGCTCCTCCTCCTAAGATTGGGAGAACAATGTGAGTGTTGTGTATTCTGAGTGTCAGGCACAGAATTTGCATGCTATAAGCAACTCTCAATTGTTCTGGATTTTCTGCCAAACTGAAATCTCAGTGTAGCATTTGGCTTATTGCTGTGTGCATGGATGGGCAAAGCAGCATCCACTGACTGTCACACTAAACTGTGACCATCAGTCACAGAAAATAAAAATTAAGAATAAAAACAAAAACATTAGGGAAATTTCTAGTTTTAAAAGTATTTCATCCAGTAATAGTTTCTGACTCACAAGTAACTCTAGAAAGACTAAACTGTATACTTCAGTCTGAAAATGTTACCTAAGAAACTTTCCTAGAGTTACGTTTATCATTAAAAAGAATGAGCATAGTTAAATTTTAGTGAAATCTGTACTTAATGTAATGACATACAGGCTAGACTCCACGGCAGACATATGCTTTTTCTATGTATTTGTGTGATTTTTTTTTCATAGATGGCAATGTTGGCAATAATAGATTATTTTCCTTGGACAGTAGATAAATTCAGCCCTGATTAAGTTTCAGTAAAGGATTTAGTACTTGTGTTTTGCATTACAAACAACTTCTGCACTCCTTTATAATGAGTCGATGAAGGGTACTTGGAAGCAGGCTGTTGGAGGTTCAAATCTATGACATTGGACTAGTGATTTGACATATCAAGGCTAATCTATAAAATGGAGCTATTATTTGCTACCTTAAGGCTTTTCCTGGAGAATAAAGGGAGGCAACCTTGGAAGTCACATAGTACCTGCGGTATCCTAGATCCTCCATTCTGCTCACAAAAGCAGCCAGACATCTTACTCTCAGTATTAGCCCAAATTAAAATGAAAATAGATCTGTTTGAAGTGTTAGCTAGATCTTTGTAAAAGTAACTTCGTTGCCACTTTGGATTTGCACATTATCCAAGGAAAACAATTTATGCTGAATTTTTCCATAGTTCAACTTTCCAACTATATCTGCAATCTGCCAAACCAGGAATATGTATAAGTTGAACAGTTCATGCTGTTTAATTGTAATGGTGAGATCTTGCAATAATTTTGGTATTTGGGAAATCACCTTGTATTATGAATTTTTGAATGAGTTCCAAATCCCCGGTATCCAACCGACCTCTCTCCCTTCCTCCCAACCCTTCCTTTTTTTTTTTTTTTCACAATGATGTAAATCTCATAACCCACAGTAAGGCCTATGTTAGATAACTAGGAATTCTAGAAGGATTGTGACAGATTTCTGTACGGTATAATTACTGGTAAGGTAGCAAAATCTGACTTTGATGTTCACAATTATGATGCTCAGTTATTATCTGTACTCAGTAATATGAAACGCATGCAATGCTTCGCATGATAGCAGAGCTAACTTTCTGGAGTGTTTGCTTCATGAAATTATTGGGAAATGTGTTATTTATAAACAGACTGAATGATTTGTGCATGACTATTGTCTTTTAATTACCTTATTACTTTTATCCTGACCTTTCCTTCTGTTCAGTTATTGTCTTAATTGATATCTGTGCTCTTTCTTTCTCTCTCTTTCCTCCCTCCCTGGCAGTCTTTTCCCTATAAAAGGACCCATCTGTCTAAGGTATAGCTTCTCCATTTTTACATACTCAACAGTGACTAAACTGCATGTAGTAGACATGCTTGTCATTTAAAAGTTGCATTTAATTCTGCCTTTTAAAAGTACGGTGACATTTTGTTTGCCTGCAAGTCAAATTTGTTCTTTTCAGCCTGAGTTCAAGCACCTAGAAGTATGCCTAATCTCTAATCATAGTTATAGAGCAAAGAATGCATTTAAAACTTGCTAATACATGGTAATTAAAAATAATACTTGAAAAGCAGATGCTCTCTGTAATGTGTAATTCTATATATACAGAGAGAAGAAAGTTCTCTTACAAAAGTGACTTCTTTCAATTTGATTTTATTAGACTTGAATTTGAGAGGCAGCAGCGTGAAGAACTTGAAAAATTGGAGAGTAAAAGGTAAGCCATGTGGAGGTGGAGCTTCAACAGTACTGTCATATGTGGGTTCTTTCTCTTAATATGTTGGGCTGACTCCATCTGTGTCTGTTCCAATGTTGCTTATAGGTAATTGCTTCTTAAAAAGTAGTTGGGGTTTACTTCATATTTAAAATTTTAGAAAAAGTGCATCTTTAAATACCTATGAGAAAGAGGGAATAGAGTCAGTAAGCAGATTTAATATTCCAAATATATGTTTAAATTTGACTTAAAGCCTATTTTTTCTAAATAATGGCTCTTGAGTTTTTAAAAAGACAAAAGAATCAATGTGGGGGGTGTAGTTGTGGAGATGGGAGGGAAGGGATGGTAGGGGGAAAACAAAGGAGAAGGCAACAATGCTTGATAAGAAATGTACTCATTACCTTGCTCATGTAACTGTAACCCCTCTGTACAGTATTTTCACAATGAAAAACTTACTTAAAAAAGAATCAATGAAAGAACAAATAAGAACTTCCCTTCCTTATTAAGTATTCCTCCTCCTCCTTTTGTGGGGCTGAATATCATAACCAGGACCTTGCATGTGACCCCTATGCCTAGCTTTTTGCAAGGGGGTGGGGATATTTGTTCATTTTTTTTTGTTTTGTTTTGAAATAGGGTCTTACGTACAGCACACTCTGGACTGGAACTCATGATCTTCCTGCTGCGCCACCACACCCAGCTACCTATCCCCTACCTTCTTAAAATTCTTCCCTATGTTATTAAACTGCCAGTATTCTCCAACCTGTAATTAACCACAGAGAATTAATTGCAGCTAGACATGTATTTTCTAGACCCTGTAGTGTAAATGTCACACAGGAGTCAGTTTCCCTTCCAGCCTCATACAGGGCAGGTGTTTTGCTGGGTCAGAAGATGGAGGCTGTATGCACACTGTCATTTCACACTCTTCAATAGAGCAATCCCAACCTCTTCTCCTTGAGTTAGTACCCTGTCAGGGTCAGCTGTATTCAAGAGAAAATATATGATCTAACCCCCAGGGTCATGCATTTGAATGTTGTAGTGTGGATTTCAGTTATTTTCAGTGTTATGCATTAATAAACTAATATTTGATACCATTTGGTGATCCCCTCTGGTCCTAAAATAGTGATTAAATGCTAAGCAGCATGTAGTTATTTGAGCTGGAACAATGAACTGTCGATTATCTTGACTTTGATATTTGACCCTGGTGAGTTGAAGACAGCATGAGCATTTTTATTTAGTGTCACTTTGTAACTGAACTTCTGTGGAGTTTAAGTCATTGGGCTGACTAAAATTATTCACATTTAAATTTAAATTGGACATGGTTCTGTCTCTTTGAGCTCTGGGGGCTCTTTTAATTATATCATGCATAACACATTATGATTCTATGCTCCACAAAGAAATGAAGTCAGAGGCTACTTCAGGAGACTAGGCAGATGATATGTTGGACAGTTAAACAATAAAAAAAAAATCAAACAGTGTGCTACTTCCAATTTGAAAGGAAGGCCCTTCCTCTCTTTTTGTGAAGAAGAATTTGGCTTTGTGTTGTGTGCATTTCCAGAATGTTCTAGTTAGGGAAAAGTTAAAGCAATGATTGAATGTAGTGATCAAATAATGATCAGTGTTTGCCTTGCAGGAAGCTCATTGAAGAAATGGAGGAAAAGCAGAAGTCAGACAAGGCCGCACTGGAGCGGATGCAGCAGGAAGTGGAGACCCAACGCAAAGAGACGGAGATCGTGCAGCTCCAGATCCGCAAGCAGGAGGAGAGCCTCAAACGTCGCAGCTTCCACATTGAGAACAAGCTCAAGGACTTGCTTGCCGAGAAGGAAAAGTTTGAGGAGGAAAGACTGAGGGAGCAGCAGGAAATCGAACTGCAGAAGAAGAGACAGGAGGAAGAGAGCTTGCTTCGCATCAAAGAAGAGCTGCAGCGGCTCCAAGAGCTCAACAACAGCGAGCAGGCAGAGAAGGTGCAGATATCCCAAGAGCTGGACCGCCTCCACAGGGAAAAAGATGAGCGGAGCGCCAAGCTGGAGCTGGAGAAAAGGAGACTGGAAGAGGAAGAGAAGGAGCAGGTGCTGCTCGTGGCCCACCTGGAGGAGCAGCTGCGAGAGAAGCAGCAGATGACCCCACTGCTGCAGCTGGGTGAGGTCCAGCGAGTGGAGGAGGAAAAGAAGGACCTGGAAGGCATTCGGGAAGCCCTTCTGCAGGCCAGGGAAGCTCAGGCTGGAGGTGATCAAGATGGCAAGGAGCTAGAAAAGGCTCAGCTGCATTTCTTGGAGTTCAAGAAAAGGCAGCTTATTGGACTGGCAAAGATGGAGGAGGACCTGGTCCAGCAGAAAGACCTCCTGAGAACAGCAGTCCAAGAAGAGCAGAAAACCCTCAAGCATTTAAAATATGAAAACCATGAGATATCTAGACTGTCAGAAAGAAACGATGGTAGTGTCCCAAATGTCACTGGTGTGGCTGAAGATTTAGAAAACATAAAGACGGCAGAGTACAGGCTACAGTATAAGGAGCATCAGCTACAGTATCTTCTGCAGAATCACCTGCCAGGTCTGTTGGAAGAAAAGAAGAAAGTGCTTGAAATCCTTGACCAAGGCTTTCTGGGCTTAGACAATACTCTTTATCAAGTGGAAAAGGAAATGGAAGCAAAAGAAGAACAGCTTGCACAGTACCAAGCCAGAGCCAATGAGCTGCAGCAACTCCAAGCTACCTTCGAATTCACTGCCAACGTGGCCCGGCAGGAAGAGAAAGTGAGGAAGAAGGAAAAGGAGATCCTGGAGTCCCAGGAGAAGCAGCAAAGAGAGGCACTGGAGAGGGCTGTGGCCAAGTTGGAGAGGAGACGATCTGCCCTGCAGAGGCATTCCACCCTGGGCCTGGAGATCCAAGAACAGAGGCAGAAACTCACTACTCTCAGAGGCAGCAGCAGTGAGCAAGCAGGACTCCAGGCAGGCCTGGAAGCTGAGCAGGAGGCCCTGGAGAAGGACCGAGAGAGGTGAGAGGAGGATAGGGCGAGTGTGACGGATGGTCGAGGCCCATTGGTGGCTCTTTTCCTACCCCTCAGGATATATTTCTTAATGTCTTAAAGTGATTATTTGTTAATTCTTTTATTATTTGTTAATTCCTATATTCTCTAATATATAAGCAAATAAGATTGTCCTTTTAGAATTGTTGGTCCAGTGTTGAAAAAAACACAAAAACCAAAACCCTTCCACTGACTTAAGGAATGAATGATTTTATAGGCTGATAAATTTATGAGTCTGAGCAAGCTTCATTCTTCATCCCTTCTCTCCCTTCTCTCCCTTCCTCCATCACTCTCTCTCTCTCTCTTTCCCTTTCCTGTGCCCTTTCTACTGTCCCTCTCATATTAACCCTCTCTGCCTTCTTCTCTTTCTCACCATCGCCTCCCTTTCTCCTCAGTATACTACTTCACATGAGGTATTTCGGTTTGCCATGACCAATACTTGCTACAATAGGGCAGCACCCCAGATTTCATGCTGTCCTGACCTAGGGAGAGCTGAAATCCAATATTTCCCTCATACCTATTGAGTCACATTTGAGACGAGGCCTCAGGACTGCTAGAAAAACAATCTATCAACCCAACAGACAAACTCTTCAGATGATCGTGAACACAATGGGATATGTCCCACATGGTTGCAGCTATCACATACTACATACCCGCATCATACATATTTTATATTATGAAAAACAAGGCAGAGAAAATAGCACTCTTTGTGGTAAGGAAAGAATCTTCATAGTTCTTTGTTGATTCCCTGTCACCAGGCTTACTAGCCATAGGTGAATGAATACACAAGTATGAAAACATCTTTTCTGATAGTTCTGAAGGCATGATGCAAAGGCTCTCAGAAAGGCTCTGGGATACTTTGTTTGAACATTATGTAGTTTGGAGATCTACAGGAGAAGTTATACTCTGGTCCAACCCCTTCCTTCCAGAATGGCCTTGAGCAAGATGTTTCTTCAATGACCCTCACTGTCTACACAGAAATGGGGAGATCAGACATCTGTGAATTTTCTTTTTTTTAATTATTTTTAAATAAGTTTTTTATTGTGAAAATACTGTACAGAAGGGTTACAGTTACATGAGCAAGGTAATGAGTACATTTTTTATCAAGCATTGTAGCCTCCTCCTTTGTTTTTCCCCTACCTTCCCTGCCCTCCCATCTCTATGACTACACTCCCCCCCCACCCCATGAATTTTCTTTTACTTTCAGATCCATTGGTCAGTGGAGGTCTTAACTGAAGTCCAGGTTGCAAGGCCTAGAATGTTACTTTGTCACACCCACAACACCACCACTTGAGTAGAATTCCTATCTACTTGCCTTAAGTCACCTCCAGCTTGTCATTTGGCAGAGGTATAGGGTCTCTTGCTGAGGACAAGACAAGACCTACTCAGTCTGGTCCTCTGGCCTTTGCTCTTCATCTTTCCTGAGAAGGTCAAGGCAACTTCCTTTTAAATGATGGACTTATACTGAGGATTGTATTATCAACTGCTCTCTAATAATTCCTTCAAGCAAAGTAACAGTCAAAAACCATCATGCTATTATTTCAGAGAAGTAGGTCGGAGGTTTAAGAAAACTATTACAGGTATAGTATGTCAATGAAATTACTGAACAAGGCTCCAGCCCCAGGGAATTTAAAAGTAGTGGAGGGCATGCTCTCAATTTGTGTCCTGCAGTGTGCAGTAAGAATGCAGCTGAGCTTTTAGCTTGATGTCCCTGGCTTTTGTCAACCAGTCATTTAGTATTCATACTCAGTAAGAATGGACATGAGTGTGATTTTGGGTACGTGGTTTCCCAATGTCAGCGTATCTCTAAAACCCACCAGAGGAGACCTTTAGCTTTTTGGTTTTTGATGAAGTTAATTTTGCTAAGATCTAGTTCAGCTCACTAAAGTTCAGGTTATTTGCAGTGCCCTTGCGGCTTTCTGTGGGTGTTGCTATTGCATTTTTATTTTATTTTTTGCAGTGGGGGGTAGGGGGGGCCCTCCTTATCCCAAAGTATGCTCTGTGAGATCTGACCTGGACCCTTGTGAAATTTCACAAGTATGAAATAGTAAGTTCATATGAGAGCAGACTGGACAACAGTACACTGAGTGTCATTTTTCCATAGTCTTTTAGTGCTTTATGAGCAAGGTTTAATTCCTGTGTGTGTGTCTGTGTCTGCGCACGTGTGCAAGCATGTGCACGCATGTGCATGCACGTACCAGTAGTGGAGCTTCAACTTAGGGATGCTGTCTCTTTTCTTTTCACTCAAGATCGGTGCTCTACTACTTGAGCCACAGCTCTAGTTCCAGCTTTTTGGTGGTTAATTGGGGATAAGAACCTCACAAACTTTCCTGCCCTGGCTGACTTTAGATCATGATCCTCAGATCTTAGCCTCCTGAGTTGCTAGGAGGTACCTGGCTAGTTCCTTTTGTTGTCTTCTTTTTAGCTGAACACAGGCTGGCCAACTGAACACGTCAGGCAGCCCCCTAAGAGAAATCCTCCTGTCGTCATGGTAGCCATAACAGAGGAACCCTGTTACTACACATATTTAATTCTATTTTCTTATCAGAAAGAATAATTAATAATTATGTTTAATCATGATGACTTCAATAATAGCAATAATAATGCTCACCATGCAAAGTAATTCTGTGTAACTCAAACTTTGTATGTATGTTGTCAAGATATACCATCATCCTCATTGGAGAATTTGATCTTGAAATGGTTTTGAAGCCACTGGGAAACAGTTTGGAAGTGGCAGAACAGTGATTTGGGTCTAGATCTATTTCCCACATAGCTCTGAGTTCTCCTATCTATCCACCATGTGACTTCCTGCTATAGAGACAGACCAGTTCTTCCCATTGGGATGCTCTGTTTGTCCCTTACCACCTGTAAAAATCTGTGTTCAGGACCCTGGCCCTTTTGTGCTGGTCCTCTGTCCTAGCCTTTAAGGATGCCTTGGAGTAATGCAGGCATCTCCTTAACTATAAACATTGCTAGTTACCTGCTTATATCCCACTTGCTTTCCTTGATATGGTTGAGGAGAGCCCATCACTTTATACTACTGTTGAATCCTTAGTCCTTCCTGTTCTGAAAATACTGGATGCTCTACACATTGATGCTCAGGAAATGCTTGATGATAGGCAAATGAAGACCTGAGTTAAATTGTACACTGCCTTGTGTGAAACCCTGGAGAGATTGTGTGGTAATTCCACCATGACCATGTCTCTGGGAGTTAAGAGCGTGGCTTTTATGTTTAGAAAAGATCAGTCACCTTGCTGTTGGTGACAATAGAAGACAGACAGCATCATGATGTGTCAGTACCTGAATTAGAATCTGAGGTTTGGAACATTTGGAAATTAGAAACATTAGCTGACTCTCTTACTGAAAGACTCAGATTGAAATAACCTGCCCATAGTCACAGAGTAAGTGAGCGAGCTACAGCCCTTAGCTACTGAATCTTATGTGTCCTAGATCCAAATGTGCTAGAAAGCTTGGTTCTAGTCTAGCCTGATGGCCCCACATTCAAGCATGCCTGGGTCAGCAGTAGAATGTCCTTACATACAGCTGACCATATTAGATGTATTGTTTATCATTTGGTTCTTCAATAATTCATAGCTTCTTTCAATTTCTTACAAACTCAATGACTTTCCTGTGTGTGTGTGTGTGTGTGTGTGTATGTGTGTCTCTGTCTCTGTGTCTGTCTCTCTCTGTCTCTGTCTCTGTCTCTCTCTCTGTCTCCCTCATCTCCCCTTCTCTTTCCCACTCCCACTGCCTAGGTCAGTGCACTTCTGTGTTTTCTGGCATAGCTTCTTTGCTTAGATTGCTTTCTGTACCTGGAGCATCCTTCACCATCATCTCCAAATGCCAATTTTCTCCTGGCCTTGGGAGTCTCAGAATGGCCTTGCTCATAAAGTTCCTCGTAGTTCAATAATTTCTAAGAGCTCTTTGAAACGTATATCTGATTGTCAAGTGGAAGTATTTTACAGAAACCCAATATGTAGTTCACAACCAGTGCTTGTTGAATTAGGCATTAAAGACCCAGAATCTCACACAACAGCCTCAGGAACTTGCTTGAAACACAGTGGCAGTGTCTTTGCCCATGTGAGTCAAGTACTCCAGCTTTAGGATACCAGCAACACTTATTCTGGACCCTTCTATGGTTCCTTTTCATCTTAACTGCTTTGTGACAATTAGAGGTTAGATCCATTTTTTCTCCATTTTTTAAAACAATGTTTTACATAACCAGATACTTAAGAAATACTACTAATAAACGAATTTATGTGGTTCCTATTTGTTTAGGTTAGAGCATGAAATCCAGCAGCTGAAGCAGAAAATCTGTGATGTTGATGGGATTCAGAGAGATCATTGTGGGACCCTGGAAGGAAAGATGGCTTCTTCCAGTTTACCATCGACTGCTGAAAAATCTCCACTGGCTCCCCTGTTGGATGCCAGGTACTAAGCATTAAACTGGTGCTATTCATCCCTTGAAGTTGATTTGATAGCTCCTTAAACCCATATTGTCCAGTTTGCTTATGTTGGGACTCTCAAAGGCAGCTGTATAAAAGGCTCTGTCTATGTGAGCTGCTGCCTGGCTGGGGATGGGGTGCAGGATCATATGGAGGAAATCAAAGACCTCTGAGAAGTGGTCTGCCAAATCTAAGGAATCTTGGTGTACATAATTTGTGTGAGAGGTAGAATAAAAAGGTGTAGAGAAGCAGACCTATCCAGAACAAAGTGCAATGTGACCAGGTTGAAAACCACCAAGCTATAGAATTAATTGAGTTGTAGCACGAAGAATTTTGTGCTGATAATTACTAAGTCATTGACTAGAGGGTGAAGAAGCCGGGCACCTGTGTCTCATACCTATAATCCTAGCTACCCAGGAGGCTGAGATCTGAGGATTGAGGTTCAAAGCCAGCCCAGGCAGCAAAGTCCATGAGACTCTTATCTCTAGTTAACCACCAAAATGCCCGAAGTGGACTTGTGGCTCAAATGGTAGAGCTCTAGTCTTGATCACAAAAAACTCAGGTACAGTGCCCAGGCCTCGAGTTCAAGCCAAAATAACAAAACAAAAGAAACCAAAAAAACCTGTTGAAATTTGTTATAAATGTTGTATTAGTACTTTCAAAATGACCACATAGGGTATGTATCTATTGTAAATAGATAAATGCAGAAACAAATATATATAAATATATGCAATTTTACTATAATCAAATAACTTGCAACGTTGGTGACCTTGTAAATTGTTCTGTAGCCTGTATTACTCAGATAAATCAACTTAATCATTCTTTGCCTATAAGAAAACAGTGACTGTTTTCCTCTGCCCCATCTGTATCAAGGTGACACTGCCAACTGTATAGTCTTGGGGCTTGAATCTAAAGAGATGAGTATTTGGATATCAAGATATACTCAGAATGATATGAGCCTCCTTTGTATCCCTTCAGTATAGGTCTGTATTGTCCATGGTGCTAGTTTACAATTTCAGTAACAGTGAGGGGATGTCATTGCAAATGGCCTTAACTCATATTTGGTTGCATTTGATTTTGCCTTCAATACAAAAAGGTAAATATTGTACTTCATTTGGTATTTTGTGTTTAAAATATTTATCTCTTTGCCCAGCATTGTACAAAATTGTTTAATTGCTGGTCAGTAGCACACCAATGTTGACAAGATCATGAATTTATTTAGAAAGCAAAAGCAGATTTATTTATTTAGTGAATGTGCCCAGATATAAATGTGGAAAATAGTTTAAAATAATCCATCTAATCAGTGCCTATAGAATTATAGGAATGGGGCCTAGAACTGAGTCAGGTTTTATTTGTCCATTCAGAGTCACAGGAGAGAGTTTTGGTTTGAGTAAATTCTCTAGACTGTATTCTTTCAGTGGAATAATTTTTATTTATTTATTTTATTTTATTTGTGAACATACTGTACAGAGGGGTTACAATTACATGGGCAGGATAATGCGTACATTTCTTACCAAGCATTGCAGCCTCCTCCTTTGTTTACCCTTCACATCCCTTCCCAGCCTCCCCCCCCCCCCCCCCCCCCCTCCCCCCCCCCCCCCCCCCGCACCGATGTTGTAAAGCTCATTTTGGACATGACAACTTGTACTTCTCATTGCAGTGGAATAATTTTTAAAGACAGACTAGAGATTGGGCTGAAATTCACTGGGTTAAGGCTAATGGCTATATTTTATACATTGTTTCACCTACGTTCTATGGGACATGTGATATTACTTGACAACTACTTCATTTCTGTTGTGGCCCTGTGCAGACAATTTGGAAGGTGGAAACCACTAAGATGTGGTATCATTGACCAGGTGTAGGTAACTTACCCAGAGACAAGGCAGATGGAACAATGCACGATTGTAACATATTGTTCTTGAATAGCAATGATCGATAGACAGTATGGCTACTTTTTATTCTTTGTAATCCTCCCACATGAGGATTTATGATTGAGAAATGACTTGTGACTGAGAAATACCTATCATCCATTTCTGTGTGAGGAGATAGTGTTCTGTGTAGTGTTAGATCTGGATTCAGAGCCTCTGATTCATACAGACTGATTTTCTCCTACCCTGACTCATGTTTCCACTAAGAAAATACAGAGAAGATTTGGATGGGGTGCTTTTATCTCCTTTCCAGTGTTAATATTCTACTTTGTGCAAAGTTCTGTCTCATTTGGGAAAAACCAGATAGTGATCACACAGCATTAGATACCTTAGAAAGAAGGAAATTGTTGAAGTTCTCTAGATGTTTTTATTATTTCCCATGTGTTTCAAATAGAATGAGACACTATATTGTAAGGAGTGTCATAAAGAACAATGTGGGAACTTAGAAATTATTCAGATTTGTCTCATTACCATGGCTTTCAGGATCAATGCTTACATTGAAGAAGAAGTCCAAAGACGTCTTCAGGATTTGCATCGTGCCCTTGGTGATGCCAGCAATGCATCTGCAGATATTACGAAGGTGAGCTGATTGAACTAAGTTCACTTTTCAAGATCACCTTGTAAATCAATTATTGGTGCTGGAGAAATAGGTGGAGTCTTTTATTGCTGCTTATAAGACAATCCAGATGCTTAATAATCCAGAAGAAATATTAAATGCTGCTTAACAGTTCAGACATAGGATTAAAAAGTAACTCATTTGCTAATTCTGTGATTCCCAGAAAATGCTTAAGTGAATATTAAGTCTTCTAAAAGACTTAATACTTTGTTCACTTATTTAATTTATAAAATTTCCACTTGCTACATATTTTGTTTTCCCTGAAAATAAAACCAATAACTAGAAGTATGTAATTAACTTTGTAAATTATCTGAAATAGAAATGTTTTCCCTTAAAAAGATACATACATACTTGTAACAAGTTGATTTCTATCAAAATAGGGACAATTCATTTTTATTAGCATATGTTAATTGTCCAACATAATGTCTTCCCTTGCGACAGTTTCATTCATTCTTAGAATAGAACATTCATCTTGTCCACCACTCTGTTACTCTCTTATACTTCCTCCTCAATATTCTTCTCCACATCCCTAATAGTGCCACCTTTGATTTTATGTCCTTCCCCAGCTCTAAATTCCACATGGGAGAGAACACTGTTTTGGGGGGACTCTGGACTTTCTCACTTAAAATGTTGATCACTAATTCTGTGTGTGTGTGTGTGTATGTGTGTGTGTATAAAATGAGATAACCCACTGTACTTGACTTTGATACTCTTCATCTTGTATATACATATATCTAATCTGGGGAGGGGAAGGGGAATAACAAAACACTGAAACAAGGACACAGGATGACCCATTACAACAAAGATACCCACAGAACAGTATATTGGAAATGAACTTTACAACTTTGGGTGGCCGGGGTGGGGGGGGCAGATAGGAGGTTGGGAGCTGGGGTGGGAAGGGATAGTGGGACAGCAACAAGGAAGGGAGGGGCAACAATGATCAACAAGTAATGTACTTACTGTCTTACTCATGTAACTGTAACCCCTCTGTACAACATCTGAACAATAAAAAATGAGATAATTCCATTCTTCTTTATGTCTTAAGAGAAAACCACTATATATATCCCATATTTTCTTTATCCAGTTATTGGGTCATGGATATACACAAGGCTTATTCCATGACTTGGCCATGGGGAATATTGCTGCTATAAACAAGAACTGTAGACATCCAGGGGTAGTGTAGCTAGATCCTATGGATTTTTCTATTTCTAACTTTTTGTGGTATCTCCACACTAATTTCCATATTGGAAGACAATTCATTTTTAACCTGCAAATTAAAAATAATCCTCACAAAAATCTTACTTGTAATACTATTCTTAGATTTTTAAGATTAGGAAGTAAAGGTCCAGTTTTCCTCCCACCAGATAAATCAGTGAGAGTCATGTTTACCTTGGGAATGTAAATTCTACAGAAGAGTTGTCACTTTTAAATGACATGTATATTTCTGTAGAATTTTGTTCTCATAAATACTTCTAATCAAATCAATTCTTTGCCTCTTTATGAACATGCTATAATTTAATATAGAGGGCTTTTTATTTTCTTTTCAGGATAATGAGAAACTTCACAATGGCACCATTCAACGTAAACTAAAATATGAGGTAGGTAATGATTTTTCAGATTGATAGGGTCGCTTAAATTATGGCATGCTTGTGTGATTAAATTTTCTTAATGTTTAGTTGCATAATTAGAATTTTGAAGTCCCTGTGAGATTAATGGCTAATAGGGAAGGCAAGCTATTATATGGGCTTAAAATTAAACAGAATCCTGCAGGTTGAAAATGGCTTTGGCTTTATTTGAATGGCATGTAGCTGGGGTGGAGTGGTGCCCAGTTTCTAATTTGTAACAGTATCCTATCCTTGGTCTGCATTTGAAAGGTAGAATTACATAATCAGAATCAGATATGGGGTTTGGAAGTGAAACCGAGTACTTCTCAATGTTTTAAAAACCCTGTTCAGTTTACGAACTGTGAGTTGGCCATAGTACAAAGGAAACACTCTTGATTGATCAGCTTATTTCTCTGGTGGATTGTCAAACTAATGTTTATTTGGGCAAACATTTTATAGGGCTGTACTTGTATCTGCTTGTACTAAGGGGCATGTCCTTCCTGTATGGTCCAAAAGTAAAAAAAAAAAAAAAAAGTCACATAGTAGAAATCTTCTCACCACTATCCCTACATTATTAAACAGGGAGTCAAGGGTGAACGCTACATTGTGGGCTTTAGTGATTTTGACCATGGCCATCTCCACTTGCCTGTAATGATATTGACCTCTGGACACTCTGTAGCAAGTAACCTAGGCACAACAAAGGTGTTTCCTTCTTCCCTTGTGTCTGTGGTGCTGGGCACACAGTGGATATGCCATAGGCCTTTGTGGTGATGGTTTGTAGGTAATGGTGGTAACAGTCTAGCCAGGAGGACACAAGGACACAAGGAAGCAGAAAGAGAGAAACCGGGCCAGATTGGAGTTTTTGTAAATTTCTTTTGGCTTTGCTGGCTGATTTTCATTATGTATGCCCTGATTTATATTTTGGATATGTGCCCATGCAACTTACTGTGGCCTCTTAAACATGAGTTCAGAAGTGTTGGAATTTAATGTAGAGAAAATGAAGTCTTAGACCAAGAAATAGATACTGTGGATCAGTCCTATAACAAGTCTACTTCTGTCAAAATACTCAACGATTGCTAAAATATATAAGATGGAATTTAATGGGGTATAAATAAACCAGATCACCTATTCTCAAATCATGTCAATCATGGCTTTTACTTTAAACCTCTGAATTTAATCCGTACAATGAAATCAATGACTGCAAGAATCATCATGTGTAAACAGTTCGCAGAAAGTGATAGCATGTCCCCATTTCAACTTCTTTTGACATCTTAAACAGAAAAGGCAGTTGAAGCCTACAGAATATATTGCCTCACTTCTACCCAAAGACTCCACTGACCCTTCCATTATAGAAGAGAGGAGGGAGGTGGATCAGAGCAACCTCTGGAACCACCCCATGGTGCACAGCATCTCGGGCCCCAAAGCTGCCTCTTCCATCTCACAAGACAGAAGAGATCTGTCCTCAGTTGCTGAGCTGCTACAGGATTGTGGCTACAAATGTTGCCATCTTGAGCCCTCTGGCCATCTTGAACCAAAATATTTTCAGCTGCTTAACAGAAGCTGTAGCAGAGGTACAGATGATTTCCAGGGGAAGCCAGAAAACGTGAGTGAGCTGATGAATCATGAAGATGAGCACAGCTTGGGAGTCGAGTCCAGCTGGACACTGCTGCAACACACATCCCAACAAGTGTCTATAAATAGCGGAAACAAGCGGGCCAAGCATAGCAGGGTGCTCTGCTTTGTTCTCTCTGAAAGCACTTCTCAAGAGGAGAGCACATCAGGCTGCACGCCGCTGAGCACAGAGGCCCCCACGTTCCCTTGGGAGCAGCCAGATGGGAAAGAATTAGCTGCTAAAAAGATTAGCTCTCCAGCGTCACTGATCAATATCAGGGCAGAAGGAAACCATGCACTGGGATATTTTTACCACAAGTTCTCAGACTTTTATAAAGACACCAGCAGTCACCTACTGCAGGTGGGCACCAAGGTGATAAACCAAGCCAAGCACGTGGGAAGCCTGTGTGACCCGAATGGGCTCACCTCCCAGGTGACGACATTGGTGAAAAGATTGCCCCTGCTGAGGCACTTACCCCTGGATGGGCCTTGGAGGTCACCCGTGGCACCATCTGGGGGTCATCCTTATCCCAAAGCTCAGACTGGTAGCAGCAATAATGAAGAAACTAGAAACCCAAGGGCCCCAGAGAGCCGTAGGCCTTACACAGCTTCTGCCTTCACAGCTGTAGGTTTACCAGACTCTTCGCCAAGTTCGGTTAGCCATCTTGAATATGAAGATGCTCCAAAAAGCTCTGCCTTTAAACAGAGCTTTGTACAGTTCCCAGACCCAATGCTGCAACTTCAGGGACACTGTTTAGAGGAACTCCTCAAGCAAGTGACTTATTTACTGCCCGAACATGCCCTTGGCATGAAAGATGTCAAAGGCGTCTATTGGCTAGCTGTAGCCAACTGCGCAGAACCTGACCCTCAGGCAGCATGCTTGCTTCTCCTGCCCTCAGCCCTATACGCTGTGGTCCGGTCAAGTCACAGCCCAGGCTCAATGAGCATCTTTCATGCTCTCCCTCTCTCTGCACTACAGGAGATTCAAGTCGGCTTTGGTGGGCAGAGCATTCGGCTGCTGGGCTCTGCAGAGAGTCTCCTCCTCACTGTATTCACTTACAACAAACAGCTCTGTCAACAGCTCTGCTGGGACCTCCTGTGTGTCCTGCTGTCTGAGTCTGAAGCTGCTGCTTATGCAGACCATCCCTTATTCCAGCAAGATCTGGTTCAGCTTTCTCTTGATTGGAAGGCAGAAGTCCCAGATTTAGTGTTGGCAAATGGAGTTCACTTGTCGTCCCAGTTCCAGACAGCCGGGGTTGACATAATTTACTTTCTTCACGGAAATATGGAGGTCAGCATCCCTTCTCTAGCTGAGGTTCAGTTACTGCTCTACACCACAGTCAGAGTCGAGGGAGAGTATGGGTGCCAACCATGCCAGTCCCTAGTTGTTCTGAACACACACATCGCGCTCCTGAGGGAGGATCGTGTGTTTTATCCACACGCTCGCTCTCTAAACACACTCCCTCCTCGGACACAGTTTGAAGTGATCAGATGCCGTGCTTTAAGTGAGTTCAGGAATGTGGTTGTTCCAGAGAAGAAAAACTTTCTAACAGTAGAACTTATCTTCTTTGGAAGACTCAGGCTTGCTCTGGACTCCGGAAACAACTTGCCTGCACACCTTCAAGACACCCCCTGTACCTCGCTGCTGACTGCCTCTGGGTGTCTTCAGGGTGGTCACGGGGAGGCACCTGAGGTCTGGAAAATGACTTTCAATTCTCAGGATGAAGCTCTTTGGCTAATCTCACATTTGACAAGACTCTAGGGAGGAGACTTTTAAAGATGCAAGGGCATTTTATTTTGAGCTCTTTAATAAAATGGACATTAAGAAAACAGTCAAGGGGATATGAGTATTCAGTGAAGTTAATCGAATTGGAATTGGAAAGCAGCGGATCTCTGAAATTGAAAATGTACAGATTTTAAATATAGTAAAATGAAAAGAGTTGATAGAAAAGAACTGATAAAATATCTTTATTGCCACCGGTTTCATTTTCTTGGAACTCAAGCTTGTAAATTTAGGCCTGCCTGATTATGTGTGAGTGATTAAAGCATTCTGATTGTTTAGCTTTGTGTCAATTTATAAGGCTGTAGCTTGGAATCTGTCTGTTTATACTAATTGAAAAAATGCCCAGTCTGGCAGTGACCTCTGTTGATGGGCTTCTCGCTAGCTATGATTAGGGCAGCTATGAGGCTGTGCACACAATGCCTGCATCAAGCTTCCTATAAGGACCCCAAGCCTCTACCGCACTCCTGGGCTGAAACAGCGAGGCATGCTCTGCAGTGCCTTCCTCCTTAGCTAATTGCCAGTTCCTTTCTCCTTTCATACTTTTTCACTGTTCCCTTTTATCCTGTGTGGTTTCAGCCCTGACAACTTCTATCCACCACACAATTTCTTCCACATTCTAGTTCTTCCCAGACTTTTCTGTTTTTGTTCCAGTAAGATTGTTCATCACAGAGTCTAATTGTTTTCCTAATGGCTTTCTTCTACTGTCTTGTCAAATATACAGACTCCTCAGAAGGAGTTTAGTGTGTTTTTTTTTCTCTTACCAAACCCATCACTCATATCTGTTGAACGAAGTGTTCTGCTAGAGGTGAGCTCATATCATCGATGTCTGCCTGGGGTGAGTATTCTTTTTCTACAAAGTTCTATTCTGTAGTAGCTTTCCTCCTCCTCTTAGGCTTCAGGCTGTGCCCTTGGGGGATCTCTCTCTCCTCTGATTGATCCTTTCCTCTTTGGCTACATTTGTTCAACAATCCTGGGAGCAACCAGATAGTACATTTTGTACTTACTTTTTTTTCATCTTTCCTGGCTGCTCTGCCATTGTTCTCCTGTCTCTTTAGTGTCTACTAAATTCCAAAGTCTCAGAAAGGGAAAGGCAGGCCTTTTGTCTCATGAACTCTTCTGTCATCTGAGATCCTGCTCAACCTTGGGTAGCTGCTCAGCAGTGTCCCATACAATTGAATGAGTCAGAAATTTCGTTAAACCATTTCATTGTTATGATACAGTCTTCAGATAATGTACAATATAAATGTTGTTCCTTCTTCATTTATGTTAGTAATGATAAGGATGGTAACAAAATGTAACCTCCCTAGAAACTAGCCGTCTCTCTTTAGCCAGAAGTACACATCTCTCCCCCCTCCCCCCCTCCATCAGAGATAATGGTAAGCTACTCACCTGGTTCTACATTTTTATGGTCCCAGATTATGGGGAAATGAATGGAAAACACAGTAAATTGGAGACTGTGCTATTGTCTACAAACTCATGGCTGAAAACCTAATGGCTTTGGACCCATGGTGACTTTACAGTTTTGAGGGAATTATATTTTCTTGATTTGTGGGGAACATGTTTTCATTACGTCCCAGGGCACTCTCCCCCATCCACACACCTGAATTCTTGAACTCTTTGTCAGAGACACTATTACTACTAAAACCAGTTATTTCTCACTTTCGTTGCTGGTTGCTATTTGTCATTGAAAGAATTCCTAAAACATACCATGACAGTCATCAATACTATTTCTCCTAATTTTCATATTTTCACTTCTCAGCTAATAAATTTTGCATTTTCTTAAGTGCTTCCATGGAGTGTTTTCTCACATACCCTTGACAAGAAAAACATAATGACTAATTCAGGAGAACAGAGTAAAATTTAAGATACCAGTAGAGAGAATACTATGGTCTGGGGAAAAAATACCTGAGAAGTTCATGACTTTAACAGAGTGCTAGTATTAAAAGATTTGTTTGTCCTATTAGGTACAGAAGCATAATTCTACCATGTTACAAATGAAGGTCTTCATAGTTTTTATAGATGGAGCCTGCAGCAAATATGAGCATTGCATAAAATCATAATATTCATTATGGGGTCCTCAGCTTTACAATCCAAGTAAGCCACAGTGGGGAATAGGTCCAGATCCCATTACGAATAGAACCAGCCTACAGCACTCAGATTTTGCTTGTTACATTTTTACCTAAGCATTGTTCTGTAAGATAAAAGGTGGTTTGTGGATATGGGAGTTTGACTTCCTGTCTGTGAAGTGTAGGTATTGAAGTTATCATAATGCCTATAGAAGAAACTGTCTAGCCTGGCATCAACCATAGCAGTCTCATAACATTCTCTTCAGATGTCCTAAGCCTACCATACTCCTATAGTGGAGCAAATAGGAAAGTGTAGGCATTCAACCTAATGTAATATCTCCATTGTAGTGAGTTTCTGAATCAGGACAAAAATAGGTTCTGACATACTTGATTCTGTGGCGTTTTGGCACTGTTGTACTAGGCATCAACATTTTCATTGTAGGATTTGCTGATATATTCTAGACAATGCCTCTTTGAGTACTTGTGAGATAGTGATTTCTGCATTTGATTAAAGTCCATTTTGCTCACAGCTGCATGCTTTAGACTTGTGGTTGTTAGGGTGAATTTATTTAGACTTTGTTGAAAAACATTTCAAAACAGTTTGTCTCCCCAATTTCATTTCTGTAAAAAGAAAATGTGCACACTTTCCCCTTGGAAGAGAACACATAAACCTTCTGGAAGTAATCACAGTAAATTTTATTTATATCTTTTTCCCAGATGCTTTGTATGATAAATAGATTTAAATCGCCTTTACTAATGCTACTTTGATGGTGAGGATAGAGGTGGTTTTCTTACTATACTTACAGACTTCAGCATGGAGGTTAGATAACTCTGCTTTGTTCCTCAAATACCTCTCTCTTGTGAAAAACATTACATTTGTCAGCTATTGCCAAGTAACAAACAACCCTTCAAGTTCCAGTACACAAAAAATCCTACTTTTCACTCCTGGATTTTAAGCAGCTTTTCTGTAGGAAAGAGGTCATCTGTAGCTCAGCAAAGGTGGGTCTGCATCATATGTCTCATTTTGGGTTCTCTGATGAAGGAGCAAAGGACAACCTTGTAAGACTCTAATGGCATCATTATCAGCTAACATCCAGTTGGGCAACACCAGTCACCCAACCTAAAATCAAGAGGCACGGACCTATCTACTACTATCCACCAAAAAGCTTTGCCAGGACTACAGATTTGCACTAACACTCAGAAAAGAATGGGACCAGTAATTCCTTCTACCTTAGATGCTTTATTTTGGGGTTCCTAAGGGACCATTGAAGGCAAGCAGATGAAGCTTCCAGGACTTCTCTCTAATGGAAACATTCAGGTTCCAGCAGAACATATATTATCTTAGGACCTACCTTTAAAAGTTACCTCATTCAATTTGCTTTCAAATTTAGCCTCTGCTTGAATAGCTCCAAGAACCTACTGATCCCTTTCCTCTACTCAAACAGTTGCTCACTGGGAAATTGCTCTATTGTTAAACCATTTTTCCCCCTTAAACTTCTGTGTAGTGATCTCCGTCCGCAGAGTTTGTTCATTGCATATTTGGAGATTTAGACTGAGGAAAAAATGCTGGGTTCAAACCTAGGACTTCTTTTTTTTTTATTTTATTTTATTTGTGAACATACTGTACAGAGGGGTTACAATTGCATGGGCAGGATAATGCATACATTTCTTACCAAGCATTGCAGCCTC